CTTTTGAAATATGTTTCATTGAAGAGCTATAATTAATTGCGTAAGAGCGATGGCCAAATAAGCGACAGCTACAATAGCATTCAAATCACGAGAAAGGCATAACTATTCCGCGCGAACGCACCTGGATGTGTGTGCGCTGCGTGAATGCACGTGGATGTGTGCGGGCTGTGTGGACGCATGTGGGTGTGGGTGCACTGTGTGAACGCACGTGGGTGCGTGTGCGCTGCGCAGCGAGGGCGGCCGTCCACCTCCAGCGGTCGTGCCCTTCCGTGTGCCTACTCCAGACGCCGGTAAGGCTCTTAGACAATAAACATAAATCCTTTAATCGACCTTTTATCAATAGCTGTCCTTGGTGAGTCTGCTCCGTGCATTTTATTACGTCTAGACTGACCATTGTACCTAAGCTGCAAACTAGTCGTCCACCATCGAACTCGGTACACACAAGTGAAAAACCTGGACGGAAAGCATATGGGCTACTGGGTGCAATCACGGTGCAGCGAAATACACAAAGACCGCGTGCATGGTAAGTCAAGTCACGGTGCGATAGCCTCTCTCCATCCCCGAGTAAGCACGGTGAGCAGCAGCACGCGCCATTCAGACGTGAGGACGGGATTATCGCGGCGCTCGGATCGGCCTCGACTTATCACGTCAGCCCATCGCTAAACTTGACCGTCGCCGCTTCACCACCTGCGGCGGCGGCGGCGGCGGCGGCGGCGGCCGCGCCCCGGGGGCCGGCGGCGCGACAGGCCAGCTGACCTCGGGGCTGACATCGACCGCCCGCCGTGCCCGACCTAGCCGCGCGTGCAATTCTCCCAGGAGTGCAGCGCGCGGGCGGCGGGCGCCGATCAAAAGTGAAAGTCGGCCGAGGCGCGGCGTGGCCGGCCGCAGCGCCAGTCGAGGTCTGGCGCTGCCGCCACCACGTTGACGACGCTGCAGTGCGACGCCATCCGCGGCCGGCCGGCAGCGCGTGCGGTGACAGCGTCCCGGCGAGGCGGCGCGAATGGGCTCGGCCCCGGCCGGCGACCGCTCATCCCCCGCTCCGCGCCGCGCCGCGCCCGCGCGCCCCGACGGAGGCCGCTGACCGCCGCCGAGCCAAGGCCCGCGCCGCCGGGTCACCAACCGTCCGGTGAGTAAACAACAGATTACCGGTCCGGCGGCGGCCGGCGCCCTTGACAGCCCGCACGCCGCCGGCGGCGGCACGCGCCGAGCGACAAGCCCCGCTCATTTCGTGGGAGTGCGTTGCCATCGCCGCCGCCGACTGCAGCCATTTCCGAGTAAGTCCCCAATGGCAGCGACCTGGACTGCACCGCATGCAGCCCAGCTGCGTCGTGCAGCCAGTCGAGAAGAGGGCACAAATGTTTACCAATCTGGATTTCGTCGGAGTTTCGCCGCACCACTAAAACGATGCACGCATCGTTGGGCACAGTTCAGTACGCGAGCGCCCGCCCGTTCTCATCGTTTGCGAATGGAAAGGGCCACGAGTGCTGCGTGTTGCGGTGGTGGCACGCTTGGCCGACGTTGGGTAAAATGAACGCCGTGCCGTGAAGCGCCATCCATGGTGGCCCGGTGCCCGTCTCACCCTCTCGCAAACCTGTTACGTTTGCAAACCCCAAAAACCGATGATTGAAGTGACTAGGGGCATCTCTCATTTACGGCTCGGGCTGCAGTGAGGCAGAGAGAGCAGCGACCTGGGTGAGGCCCCGGCGACCGTGATGCAACCAAGTGAGCGCGGTCCCTCGGCGACCTCACGCCTCTCGCGGTGTGTGGTGTAACCAGGCGACCGCGGTCCCTCGGCGACTCCAGGCCCCTCGTGGCGTGTGGTGTAACCAGGTGACCGCGGTCCCTCGGCGACCCCAGGACCCTCGTGGTGTGTGGTGTAACCAGGTGACCGCGGTCCCTCGGCGACCCCACGTCTCTCGCGATGTGTGGTGTAACCAAGTGACCGCGGTCCCTCGGCGACCCCAGGCCCCTCATGGTGTGTGGTGTAACCAAGTGACCGCGGTCCCTCGGCGACCCCAGTCCTCGTGGTGTGTGTAGCCAGGTGACCGCGGTCCCTCGGCGACCCCAAGCCTCTCGCGTGTGGTGTACCAGGTGACCGCGGTCCCTCGGCGACCCCAGGCCCCTCGTGGTGTGTGGTAACCAGTGACCGCGGTCCCTCGGCGACCCCAGGCCTCCGCGTTGTGTGATGTAGCCAGGTGACCGCGGTCCTCGGCGACCCCAAGCCTCTCGCGTTGTGCGATGCAGCTAGGTGACCGCGTCCCTCGCGACCCCAAGCCTCTCGCGTTGTGCGATGCAGCTAGGTGACCGCGGTGCCTCGGCGACCCCAGGCCCCTCGTGGCGTGTGGTGTAACCAAGTGACCGCGGTCCCTCGGCGACCCCAGGCCCCTCATAGTGTGTGGTGTAACCAAGTGACCGCGGTCCCTCGGCGACCCCAAGCCTCTCGCGTTGTGTGATGTAACCAGGTGACCGCGGTGCCTCGGCGACCCCAAGCCTCTCGCGTTGTGTGATGTAACCAGGTGACCGCGGTGCCTCGGCGACCCCAAGCCTCTCGCGTTGTGCGATGCAGCTAGGTGACCGCGGTGCCTCGGCGACCCCAGGCCCCTCGTGGCGTGTGGTGTAACCAGGTGACCGTGGGCCCTCGGCGACCCAGGCCCTCGTGGTGTGTGGTGTAACCAGGTGACCGCGGGCCCTCGGCGACCCCAGGCCCCTCGTGGTGTGTGATGTAGCCAGGTGACCGCGGTCCCTCGGCGACCCCAATCCTCTTGTGGTGTGTGGTGTAACCAGGTGACCGCGGTCCCTCGGCGACCCCAATCCTCTTGTGGTGTGTGGTGTAACCAGGTGACCGCGGTCACGGGCGACCCGTGAAGCAGCGAGTCTGCAGACCGTGAGGCGCCGCTGGTGTCGTGGTCAGCCACGCTTGTAACGCCGTGAGACTGCCGCGCCGGGACGTGATGTCGTGGTTTCAGTAGTGCATGGCGTAATGGTGCGATCACGACCATTCCATGATGCAACCGGCAGCGGGCACTTAGTACCAACCAGTGCGACAGTGAGACCGCCACAATCGATTCGCGTTGTGACATTTGTAATCACGAAGCAATAGGAGAAGACCGCCAATCCATATTGCAACGGGTG